ATTAAACTAATTATAAATGACTTATTAATGTTTTTCCTTGTTTCCTTAAATAAAAATAAGGGATCTACCAAATATAGTTAAAGAATATATGACAATTAATGATTTTCAATAATAAAGATTTGATAAAAATTAGTATATTTTTAAATTTTAACTTATTAAAATAAATTAAGCAACTACATTAACTATTTAATAAAAAATTATATTTTTCGTATATTTTGATTTTTTAAAACGACTATAATGACTAAAATTATTACAAAATTATATATGTAAAAAGTATCATTTAATATATATATATATATATATATATATATATATATATTTTTTTTTTAATTTCTAATTTGCTTTGATTTTTTTTTGATAAAATTTTTGAACACATATTGACAACTTAATATTTAATTTTAAACTTTTCATAATGTTTTAAAATTATAAAATACTAAAAAATGTTAAACATCCCACACAAAAAAAAATTGTTATCAATGATTTAAAATTTTTGTTATAAGAATATAAAAATGAACTAAAAATAATATGAGTATAAACTATAATTTAACCGATATCAATATTAAAAATGTATTATATTTCTACGATAATATCATTTAAACTTAATTGTATATCATATAAAATAGAAAAAATATGTTTAAATTAATCAAAATTATTTATATGTTTACACCAATTTAATTATATACGTAGAAGTTACAAAAATTTTAATATATTCATTATTCTATAATATGTAAAAAAACATATAATACGTAAAGTAATATATATAAAATATTCATTCCGCGCAAGGCGCGAATCCTAACTTAGTTAGTAGGACTGGGCAAAAAACCGAACCCGAAAATCGGAACCGAATCCGACTCGATAAAAAGGAACCCGAACCGATCCGAACCCGACATAAGTACCGAATGGATATTGTTTTATGGTATTTCGGGTTATGGGTATTACCCGAACCGAACCCGAACTTAAATGGATATCCGAAAGAATCCAAAACTTTAAAACTCCTAAAAAACTTGTATCATATCCAATGTAAATTTCTAATATGTTTTCCAAAACAGATTAATATATTATTGAGTACCTACAATAATTAGTTATGATATAAATAATTAACTCAAATATTTAGTCTAATGTATAGAGTTATTTGGTTATTATTAATGTTTCTGATTGACATTACATTTGAAGTTAAGTTATGAATAAATTTGTTTTGAAGTTTATATAATGTTGTTTTTTTTAAAAGTGTAAATAGTACTTCTTACGTTTATAGAATTGTTAGTTGTTAACTTTAATTTTTTATGTTTCATTATGTATAATATTTCGTTCATACAAGGTTTTGGTTTGTCATTAATCATGATAATATTATTTTGAAGGAGAACAATATGGTTTGTAGATGCTAAACCATATTGTTCAATGACAAATCTTATTTGGTTGATAGACGAGTTTCGCAATATTATTTTGAAGGAGAACAATATGATATGCAGAAGCTAAATACACAAATTTAATAAAATGATTGAAAATATAGTGAGTTTAATTGAGTATAAATTAATATTTTTAGAACCGATAACACGATTAGTATCCGTAACCGAAATTATTTCGGGTTCAACCGGATCTTGGACATGTTACTAAACCCGAACCGAACCGGACTAAACCCGAACCGAATCCGACCCAAATTTTTATAATATTCGAATGGGGTGAAATTCATGAACCCGAAACGTGAATGAACCCGAACCGAAACCTGATTGGGACCCCGATTGCCCAGTCCTACTAGTTAGTATTTATTTCGTTAGCATATAATCTGCAAAGCAGCGCAACTTACAAAAAATACACAAACACACAAATTGAGTATATAGTTGAGATGAAGCATGAATGTCGCAAGGATAAAAAAAACAAATTAAGTATACAATAAATCATACCTTCTTTTGTTAACAACGTTAACTTATTATGTAAAGATTATATCCAGTTTATTCAAGTTATTTTACAAGACATGATATTATGGACTTGAGGAAATATCTTTCGACTTAGAACATGAAAACAGAAAAGAAAGAAAACTTTATTTTTATCAAGCTGGTACTTGTATATCCATAATTTGAGCCAAGCAAATATCAATTATTTTCCAAAAAAATTCAATTATTATTTTTGGTAAAAAAATATTCGAAGACGTAAGATTCTATAAGGAAATGAAAAGAATAGATAGCGAATATATCGAAAGAAAAGTGTGCTAATTGTCTTTTGGCTTGTGGGGTATTTTGGGTGCGCATTCGTGCGAAATTCCACTAGGCTGCATATACTAACACATCTTTTTGTCATGATCGTAGTGGATACATGCATGCTCGTATGTATCATGTAGGCGCAAAGATATGCATGATTATACTATTTGTATATAGGTCTGGTCTGGGTGTACATATATGTCATAAAGTACGTGGTCACGACTTTGCGAAGGATCTCGTACGCAGATCAGAGCGTGGGTTCTTGAGTCTTCGAAAAATGTGGGTTGCTTTTGAATTGGTGATTTGGTTCGTATGAGATCAGAACCGGTTAAAATGTTAATGACTAGAGATGTATTAAAGCTTAGTCTAATATAATCATGATGCTAGACCGGTCAGCATCCAAAAATCATACTCGATTTTTCGACTGCAGATATGTTAACCATGGAACACATTACGTAATCAAACGGAGCTACAATCAAATCAAGATACTTTTATTTAAGGCCAATTTAATCTCCTCATGAATGGACCACATGCACACCGCCTCACTTTCATACAGCTTGTGCATGTATGATCTCTGGTATAATATATTAGAATCTAAAGAAGTGTGATTTTTTAGCCGCTTGACTACTTTGATTATACAAACTTTGAGCCTAAAAAGCCACTCTTTTAATTGTAATTTAACATCTAACCTTTTGACTAATGCCAAAAAATAAAATTTGCGATTCTCTTTTATTTACTTTATAATAGTTTTCCCAATACTATTAATTCGTTGTGGCAACTTATGATTCTTTTATAATATCTATAAACGCCATTTATAAGCTTTTCAATCAAGCAATACCTAACACGGGAGCTATCTTTATATGATCATCACTTTAATTGTATATACATTTTGAAAATGAAAGACACTATACAAATTAGTGCTTTAATCATATCTAATTATTGCATGAGCTCCTTTGGTTTAAGGTCGTGCATCTTTGGAAATCCGAGAGGGTTTTTGAATAAACTATATGAAAGTTCATAATATATTATTTTACTTATTCTTTACTTTACATAAAAACTGAAAATTATAGATCTTTATATTTTCTTGCCAAAACAGTTTCAAAGATTGAGAGTTGACAGAATAGAATAAGAAGAAAAAAACAATTCAAAACTAATGAGTCAGATAATATGCATAACTTTGTTTCATGTTATTTACAATTTTGGGGAGTTGTGGGGTTGTTTTCACTTGGACCATATCTCCATGTGAAGAACCACTTGAACTTAACAACAGGAGAATATTTTTGCCCCATTTGAGTTCACAATATCTAGCATTTGGATAGCCAAGAACACGATCCTTGGTCCTCTTTGTGAAACTGATGCAAAACCAATACCTAGCAGTTTGACCATTCGATGAAATTTATGCTATACCTTTTGTAATTTTTATGAAAGTATAGTATACAATTTGTCAATTTCAAAAAAAACAACATATATATATATATATATATATATATATATATATATATATGATGTTAACTAGAAAATGTTAAATCTGAACAAACACTAGAAATCAAAACTTTTTAAGTACTAATTAGTCTTTGATGTCTACATGACCATAGTCTGACTGAACCCAACCCCAATATCAAGAAGAATTGTGCCTTAAATTCAAATATATACTATCTTTATCGGTAAGCATGGACCTATAATAAACTATATCAATCAAAATTGATTTTTGGTCCACAAGTTCATCTTTTCCCTCTAACGTGCATCTGAAGATGGTTAGCTCGTCGTTGATTCAATAGTTATGCTGGCTCATGTGTCCTAACCCAGATTTAAAGCTACTACGTGATAAGAAAACACAAGCAATCAATATTTGTATACAATCTCTGGTAAAACTAAAACAATGTCAGTTGAAAATAGAAAGTGTTTTTAACATTATAACCATACGCAAAAGAACATGAGCTGGTCCGAGCGTTATAGGAGATCATATAGGCGGTTGTGGAGCGGTTTTCAGGTTTGTGTTCCTCAACCCTTCTTTAGGCCCGTCTAAGGCCATGTGCAAGTGGTGCACTTGCTCAGGGTCCAAAATTTTAGTAAAAAAATTTAGTTAGAAGTTAGTAAAAACTACAAAACTTTAGGGCCCTCCTTATAAATTTATGTTAATTGATTAAGGTTTTTTTGCAGATTTATGTTAATTATTTTTACAGACTAAAAATTGGCCTAGGGCCCATTAAAGCTTCGAGACGGCCCTGCCCTTCTTCTACATGGTGACGATTACAAGCTTCAAAGCGTTCATCGGAAGCTAACTACTACTGAGACGACAAAGAAATTCCTGACATCCTAGGAAATGAGGTGAACTTCACGTTTCCGTGGTCATCATTAAGGCAAAGAACGACAACTGCTTCCTATGAATATTAAAAGCGGATTAGTGAACTCCAGGTAGTGAGTGGGTGGACGAAGCTAGTTTTAGCAATTAGTAGGTTTGGAAAATTTTGTTCAAATCGAGCTTGTAATCCGAACTGTATTCTGGTTTTTCCGGTTTGATTTTAATATATTTCAAATTTAAGAAAAATAAAATGTAAAACCTGGAGGGTCCTCGGTTGGGTGTCAACAAGTTATAAACACACTACACAAAAGACGAGATTCATGGACCACGTACAAAATGCAAGTCTTAAGTCTTTCGGAGCAGAGATCAAAATAAAACCCTCGACCCGGATACTGTAAAAGAAAAGACAAACCCATCAATAAAAAGCCCAACAAAGACCCAATAAACAAATACGACGCCGTAAAAGCAAACGAAGCTTCATCGCCTTATCGTTGTGAACAGACTCAAAAAGGAAGAAGAAGAGAGTTAAAGCTTCAATGGTGATTTTATCGGCGAGCTTCTCCGTGAGAGCTGCCTTGGACACGCAGCCTAGACTCCCATACAACCCCAACGCGCCTCGTAAAGTAAAGAAAACCACACCTAACAGCAACTCTTTCTTACCTCCGCCTTTACCTCCTCCACCGTCTCCTCGACTCACCATCTCCGTCGACGATTTACTCAAACGACCCGAGAGTAAAGGTAGACACTTTCTGAATTGAATTGCGTAAATGAAAAGAACCCTAATCAAAAGTTTCAATTTTTGTAATGATTTTACTTGAGATGGTGTGTGCTCTGTGGTGTAGAGTTGAGTGATGAAGTTGTTGATGATGATAGTTATATGGGGTATGAGACGTGGTCTCCAAGTCCTCCACCAAAGCTGGAGAAGCCAAGATCAGTTTTCAATGCTGCTTCTTTGGCCTTTATAGGTGATTCCATCTATGAGGTTTGTTTTTCCACATTACTCTCATAAGCAAATTTTTTTGTCTTAATCTTTGTTTGTTCCTTCTTGATTGTGAGTACTAAGTTTTATTGTAGAATGAGTACTAAGTTTTATTGCAGAATGAGTTTTATGTGATCTCTTTTCTTCTATGAATCAAACTCTAATGTGCCAAATGAAGATTGTACTACTCTCTTATGGGATAGCTTTTTTTTTGTTTTTTTTTTTGCAGTTGTATGCACGTAGGCATTTCCTTTTCCCTCCACTTAGTATTGAAGATTATAACGATCGTGTTAGAGCTGTGGTGCGCTGTGAAGCTCAGGTTTTGTCATCTTTTGACCTTACTTTTGTTTTTTTTTTCAAATCAGTATTTGTATATGGTATGATGTTATCTCCATTCTCGAGGAAGCAGCGTATTGTGTTTGTTTTGTTTCATGGTTTTGCTTAATAGTATTTATCTTTCATCTAGTTTACTTACACCGTTGATAATACGAGAATTCATTTCATTATCATGTAAATTAGTCTCAGCTTAGCTGTTTTCAGACTTAACATTCGAGTTATTGCCTGCCCATAAAAAATAAAAATAAAACTTTTGAGTTATTGTTGTTAATCTTTCTTTCATTGTTTGAACATAATTGCTAATTTTTTTTTCTCATCATCTTGTTCAGTATGCTTTGTTGAAGAAACTTGTTGATGATGATTTCCTAACAAAGGAAGAGAGGTCAGTACACTAAACCCCATTATCTCATCACCCAGCTACTCACATGTGATTGAGTCACTTCTCGGTTTGATTCATCTAATCTGATGAATGTGTATTTATTTACTCCAGGGATGTACTCAGGTGGGGAAAGAATCTAGGGTCGGCTAGAACACGCACAAGAAGGCGTGCTGGTTCTGCGGTTTATAACAAAGCATCATCACTGGAGACACTGGTAAGTACTCCCCAGTTACACTGTATTCTTCTTTGTTCTTCTAACTTCTGCTTTGAAAGTAAAAATCTTCTTGATTTGTGAGATACTAATCCTGCTTTCCTCTGTTTTAATTTCCAGATTGGCTATCTGTATCTAACCAACGGGAAGAGATTAGAAAAAATAATGCAGAAGCTAGGATTCTCAAGCGACTCTTCCACTGAGATCATGATTGAAATTGCAAAGCCAAAACCATCAGAATCAAACCTACCATCCTTTATACTCAGTGAGTGTAATCTATCTATTTCATCAATATCGTTCTAAAAATTCAGCAAAACTACACAAAATCATAGATTCATAACCAAATTCTCCTTTTGGTGAATCTGTAGATGAGCAAGTGTCACAGTAGCATAGTAAAAGGTCATTTACTCTCTCGGATCATGGAAAAGCTGAAGGATCATCAGAGTTTTAATAGTAGGCCGGTTTAGCATTTCGTTATTTACTTAACCGGAGAGACTGTGTATTGTACATACACATCGTTATATATGAATGTGTAAAACTCCTACTGGTTCTCAAAATAGAATGCTTATTTTTGTCTTGTCTCAATGATGACGCTTGTACTACTAACGAAGATATTATACATTAGATAAAAAGATTAAAAGACATAATATCTTTGGTTGCAACTAGCGGTTTAAAAAATTGAAAATCGTCTTTTTATCAAAATTCATAAATTTCTGCAAGTTGAGACAATGCTACTCTCTCTTCGTTGGATAAACACAATAATAAATTGTAAATGTGATCTTCGTCATTTGATCTAATCCATTACAGCAACATCCTTATCTAAATACGAAAAGAAAACAAGTATCTAGTATTAGTCTAAATAAAACTAAAGTATAATTTAATGCGACAGTAGACTAGATTCGGTTGTCATTAGTGACTTCTCTTTTTGGGTAGGCCTAGTTTGAATATCGGGCCCATAACCGTCCAACGAAAACCGGTTACTGTTGCAATGGATTACAATGGACCGACCAAAATCAATCAATATGAGATTCATTATATTAAAATATCACAAATTTCTTACTCAAAATTTTCTTTAATATTACCAAAATTAGATGACACGAGCAAAGATACTATAAAAGGAAAATAGTGTATCAGAACAATAAATACAATTTTCATATTTTCTGAATCAAATATCGATTGTAGCGTTGTTTTTTTCTTTTTGCATGTCAATGCAATTTTCGAATTACGGCTAGTTGAAACAACTAATTATAGGATCATGCGATGTATAAACTAATAAGATTTAGTTGTAGGTTGCGATTGCATGTTGCAGCGACATAATCTGTGTCTTCAATTAAAAATATATTATCTTAATCATCTCTCTTCAACCCACCAAGAACAGTGCATTCTCGTTTTGTTAGAATTATATATCTTCAATTTGTATCAGTTGTTTGTTTCACAAGGGACCGCTAAAAAGATCGTGATTGATGGGAATGGTTTTAAATTTGAATATGTGGCAGTCTCATCCATAATATATATTTTCTTGTGTGAATAAGATAATTCATATGAGGAACAAACAAAAGAAAAGAAGATAAAACATATCATATTTTTGTAGCTCATATCTTTTACACATAAATAGCCACTCATTTTCTTTGTAACGTCGATGCCTTCTTGTCCTATAACATTGCACATTATCCAGTCGATGTTCATGGGTCCCGCCGACAAGGTTGACGTGTCACGCATATCTTGGACCCGACGTTTTCTCCCACTTGTTTGTCATCCTAATCCCTACTTCGTTCACCACTATTTTGATAGAAGAGTAAACACAATTTGAATGAGACTTGTTTCTGCCACGTCCCACATAATATAGAAGATGAAAATGATCATTCCTTCCTTTGTTCAGTGATAGTTCTCTTTTTTTCGAGTTCTACTTTCATTTCATTTTATCTTAAATTTTGGAATGTCCAGTCTATAATAGCGTAAAAGAATCATCATTCTTTGTATTTTTCTGTAAAAGGTTATATATTTTAGAGAAATTTTAATATTAAAATGTGATTTGTCGAGAAAGTGTAGAAGAAACGAGACCTATCGTATAAGATAGGATAAGACATCGATGATAAAGAATCAAGACGCTAGCCAAAATTATGAAGCCGTCGAAATAAATGCACCCTCTCAAAATAATTATTTAGGAACCTCTCCTTGCTATATATGGATAAGCTTAACGTGTACGTTTTTATCGATACTATTTACGCTTCTGAAAGCCTGAAAGGTATTTCAACTATATACAAATCCATAAGTGTGACGCTTAACAAAATAAATTTGAAAAAAAACTTTATAAATTGAGTCTAAGAAGTAATTAACTCCAAAAGGGATCTAATTACAATATACTTAATACTTGAGTGTAGTATGTAAATAGTCAGTCACAGAAAGGATGATTTGCCTTTTCATATGTCTAACAACATGGCTTTCTCGTTTAGTATAATTATCAATAAGCTGACACCACTGCATGCATGCTTGTCAATGTATATGATTAGTTATTAAATTTGTCATCATCATAAAATAGAAATATCTTTGCAAGTGGTGGTGAACTATTAGCAGCCATGCATACTCAAGTGAGAACACTGTGTTAATCAATATGTTATGAACCTATATGTAAATTATACGTAACTGGATTTTAGAAAGAAAAAAAAACTCTACTTTTTTTGTGATGGACTTGTTTTTGTATAGTGGCAAAATAATACCATTCACGTCCTAATTATGAAGAGCACACGTGGTTTTTCTGTGATCCATTGACCTGCGGAATGTAAAAATTAATAATAAATGGGAAACCCCCAAGTTATAGATTTGTAGTGACAACTCCTACCAGTTTATAAAAACAACATTTTATTTTACATACTGCATGTATATATATTTTCAATTATTTAAGGTACCATGAGTTGAATCAGATATAGGTCCAAGGGGTTTCTCCAATGAAACCAGCATTTGCGTCTAAAATGTCTGCTCGAGTCTAAATATCAGACATGGACATGTGTGAAAATATGCCGAACTGGCAAATGAAGGTTTTGCATGTGCAATCAATTCTTAAGATTGTCAAATATAGTATCTCATCAGTATTTGCACTCAAGTTACGAGATATTCTAACGTTTTTTATTCTTGACAATAGACTATTGCTGGTTCCAAAAAAAAAAGACAATAGACTATACTACTATAGTGATATATTTTTTTTTTTGTGGAGAACAGCTCGATCGAAATCTACGCTATGACAAGTACAGAAACATGGCATTCGCGTCAACACCTTCTTACAAAATTTTATGACCTTAGGCGAAATATAAATTAAAGACCCTTTTATAAAAAATTTCTCAACCTTTATTTATTGCATTTTTAAAAACTAAAGCAAGAACAAATGTGGTATTCAAAGAAAAAAAAATAAAAATGGGGTTTTTGTGTGTAAATTAGATTTTGTTAATGGAAAATTGATAATGATGCATGATAATTTTTTTGTTCTTATTGTATTTAGATTGTTTTAGTTAATTATGGATTTTTTTTTATAAATCAACCAACTACTTAATATTTAACAAACAAAATGGACTTTGTTAATTAGTAAAATAATACCTAAATTATTTTTGGATCTATAGACCCATGGCATTTGCCTATCTTGCCATGGGTTAGAGCAGGCACTGATTTACGTTAGCTTCTCTATTGATGGATCAATACAAGCATTAGGAATATTACTAGAGATTTGATTATAAATTTAGAACCCATCAAGTACAACCACCTAATACACGTTTTGAAGTTACCCCTTAAGATCCGAATTGATTTAGATTAAGAACCCATTAAGCACAGCCATTCAATACGTGTTGAAGATCCGCCTTAAGTTCTCAAAAGTCAAAACATGGCATGATCTTGTTCTACAAAAATATACGGAATTTTAAACCCATAACCTTGTTGTCATTCAAAAATATAGGAGTATAAAATATATAACACATAGTCATGACTAGTAAATAATATATATATATATATATCTATATATATATATACATGATTGTATTATTTCTTTTGGACAAAATATACATGATTGTATATTGATTTACTCTTCGTAATAGTATTACTAGTTCAGGCTGTGGCTTACCTCTTTGCCATATATATGATACGTGCTACTTCTCAACTACCACCTCATAACTCGAATAATATGCACTCGACGAGGAGGACAAAGAAATGGTTTCTATTCAATGTAATCGATTGCGTTTTAAACTTTAGTTATGCTTTACAAACACGACATCTTCCTTTGTTCGACACCTTATCTCTTAGTTTAGAACAATTATTGTGTATGTTTGCGTGTTTTGATGAGTATAATATAGACTTTAGAGTAGTATCTGTTTTAAATAAATAGATAGTTAATTTATAGCTAGCTTTCCCATCCATTTATATGATGAATACGACATATCAACGAAATTAATGACATAGCCAGCCATATATAGGTTGCACCGTCGAATCTCGAGTTCTTCGATTGCCTCATGCAATTACAGACAAAATCCACATAATAATAAATTTCGAAGCTATAAAGTTGCAAACGATCCGGTTGATTGGCTGTGGATGTTTTGGACAATTACTTTTATTTTTTAAAACATTTTTATAAAGCAATCATGTTTTAGTTTTTAAAATTTAAGCTACACCAAAAATTAGAATAGAGAATAAGTTAGCTTCCCAAAATAATTTTTTAAATTTTTTATTAAGTAATTTTGGGAAAAAATCCACAGTAAAAAAATTAAAGATATAGCAAAAATTTGACAGCCAATTTCCTAAAAAAAAAAAAAACTAAAGCTACAGCATATATTCGTCTGTTTTTAAGCTAATTAATCAGACTCTGCCACAGTAACTACGTTACGGTACTCAAACCATAAATGACCTTTTCACATATTCATAAAGCATTCGGGAATTCTTGAAATGTAAAACCTCATTAACTTGTTTAATTATTTACTCCCTCCGTTACATAATAAGTGTCACTTTAGACAATTTTTTTCGTTGCAAAATAAGTGTCGTTTTCGGTTTTTTATGCAAAATTTATTGATTTTATTCTGTAATTCATTCTTCTATTGGTTGAGATGTATAGGTAATTGTGTTTTTATACGATAAATATGTAAAATTAATTATTTTATTAATCTGTGTGCCAAGACCTAAAATGACACTTATTGTGAAACAGAGGGAGTATAAATCAACAAATGAAAAAAGGCCAAAACATGGTGGGTCCCAAAAAGTCTCTCAAAGGTAGGTCCCACGAGATACCCTCCAATCGCTGAGTGCTATTAAAAACAGCTGCAACGCAACTCTAATCGAACATCCGAACAATAACGCAAGTTTTCATCTTTTCACACTCCAAGAATCTATTTTCAGATCTTTCTCTCTTACAAAAAGTTTTGAGCTAAAGAAAGCTTCAAGCTTTTGCTTCCCACCATACACCATTCTCTTATCTCCTCCCCCTCTGGCTCAAAAAAGGAAGTATAGAATAAAGTGGAAAAAACCAAACCACAACTTCAAGATATGGGTTCAAAACCTAATGCCACAACGAATGTGGCTATAGCGGCAGCTCTGTTTCTTCTAGGGTTTATAGTCTCTTCGGTCTCTAGCTCTGTCTCTTACGATAGCAGAGCTATTACTATCAATGGCAAAAGAAGAATCCTTATCTCTGGATCTATTCATTACCCAAGAAGCACTCCTGAGGTTTGTTTTATTTTATTTTATTTTAGTTAAAGACATGTTCCAAAGTGTTGAGCTTTATTTGTTTTGTAATATCTCAAACCCCACATTGTTGTTATATAGATGTGGCCAGATCTAATAAGGAAAGCTAAAGAAGGAGGTTTAGATGTGATTCAGACTTATGTTTTCTGGAATGGGCATGAGCCTTCTCCTGGCAAAGTAAGTAAAAATCTCAACTTTCTTTTTTCTGTGTGTAGGATCTGTTTTTTTGTGTGTGTGTGTGTGTGTGAACTAAGTACTGATTCATTGGATTCCACTTTAATGTTTCTTTTTTGTTTTGGCTTTATCTGCAGTATTATTTCGAAGGCAACTATGATTTGGTTAAGTTTGTCAAGTTGGTCCAACAATCTGGACTTTATCTTCATCTAAGGATTGGTCCTTATGTCTGTGCTGAATGGAACTTTGGGTAAACTATTCATGTCTCTTAGCCTTATAATAGTTAAGTTAATAAGGAGATAAATTTCCTTGAAAAGAACTAATATGATTGTTTGTTTGTGTTTAATTTCTTCAGTGGATTTCCTGTTTGGCTTAAGTATGTTCCAGGGATTAGCTTCAGAACAGATAATGGTCCTTTCAAGGTATGATATGCTTTTTTTTACTAAGCTAATCTATCTTCGTTTTGAAGTTATCAAAACCCACACTTGTTCATTGACTCTTGTTTGACTCGTGAGTTAATTCAGAAATTTGACACTTTTTTTGGTTCTTTCTGAAGGCTCAAATGCAAAGGTTTACTACAAAGATTGTTAATATGATGAAAGCTGAGAAGCTGTTTGAATCACAAGGCGGTCCTATAATCCTCTCTCAGGTAAAAAAAAAAAAAAAAACTCGTCAGCTGAATTGTTGTGTTTTAGCAATCCTAGTATAGAGTGAGAGTGGGACTAAGTAGACTTTTTTTGTCTGTGTAAATGTGTTGTGACAGATTGAAAATGAATATGGACCAATGGAATATGAGCTGGGTGCACCGGGACGGTCTTACACTAACTGGGCAGCTAAAATGGCTGTGGGGTTAGGCACTGGTGTCCCTTGGGTCATGTGCAAGCAAGACGATGCTCCGGACCCCATTGTAAGAGTTCTTTTGTCTTGTCTCTTGGACATTTTCTTCATTAGCTGTAGCCTGTATGCTGTTGTCTCTTCACTCTTTCTAAAAAAAATCAAACTATTAAATATTAGTATTCATTTACGGTGCACATGCTTTGATGTTCCTTCTTTTGATGATCTTTTTTTTTTTCCTTTGACTATTATTACATTCTTCTGGATCAAATAATGATATTCAATTATTAAGCAATTCCTTGTTGTCTTATAACAGTAACACATGTGGGTCAGTCTCTTTTCTCCTTGCGTATTTGTTAACTTGTTGAATCTATGTTTGCTCTCTGCCTAGATCAATGCTTGCAATGGCTTCTATTGCGATTACTTCTCTCCAAACAAGGCTTACAAACCCAAAATGTGGACTGAAGCTTGGACTGGATGGTAAGCAGATACTCAAAAGTGAATCTCTTCTTCTATTGTTGCTTCATGGTGATCTCAGTCTGTTTTTCTCTAATGTTTCTACAGGTTTACAAAGTTTGGAGGCCCAGTTCCTTATCGTCCAGCTGAAGATATGGCCTTTTCCGTTGCACGGTTTATCCAAAAGGGTGGCTCTTTCATCAATTACTATATGGTAAGGCTATAGTTGAAGCTTTTATTTATTTATCATCTTCACAAAGTAAACCATATCTCTCTTTTGAGCTATTCTAATTCTCATACACTGGTTTCTTGCTCAGTATCATGGTGGAACAAATTTTGGTCGAACTGCTGGTGGTCCATTTATTGCAACCAGCTATGATTATGACGCGCCTCTGGACGAATATGGTAAGCTTTGCTAAATCTCTCTCTTTTTTATATTGACAAAGATAGCAATTGATGTTCTCTTTATAAATATTGTCTGTTATTTTCAAACAGGACTTGAAAGGCAGCCTAAGTGGGGGCATTTGAAAGATTTGCATAGAGCGATCAAGCTGTGTGAGCCAGCATTAGTATCAGGAGAGCCCACCAGGATGCCCCTTGGAAACTATCAAGAGGTCTCAGTTCAAAGCCTTTTTTTTCCGTTAGTGTTGTTTTTGCTATGATCAACTTGTTAAAACTTTTGTACATTTGTAAATATGCAGGCTCATGTGTACAAATCGAAATCTGGGGATTGTTCTGCATTCTTAGCAAATTACAATCCAAGATCCTACGCCAAAGTTTCTTTTGGGAGCAACCATTACAATCTACCTCCATGGTCTATTAGTATTCTCCCAGACTGCAAAAACACAGTTTACAACACAGCCAGGGTAAGAGGAATCATTATATGCTTGGACAGATATAACTATATGAGTAAAGGATAAAAGTTTTAAAATGTTTCTTCTTGGTTTTATGTGAGTACTGACAAAGAGTACGCTACAATGATGGTTTTGGCTGTAGGTTGGTGCTCAAACTTCAAGGATGAAAATGGTTGAGGTTCCTGTTCATGGAGGATTATCTTGGCAAGCATACAATGAAGATCCATCAACTTACATTGATGAGTCCTTCACAATGGTCGGATTAGTAGAGCAGATCAACACTACACGAGACACTTCAGATTACCTTTGGTACATGACTGAGTAAGTATCCATAGACCTTTCAGAATCTATCAACACCGAATGAATGTGGAAGATTCTCTGAATGCATTTTTGACTTCTTTACAATTTTTTTTACAGTGTTAAGATTGATTCCAACGAAGGATTTTTAAGGACTGGGGACTTGCCTACTCTTACTGTTCTATCAGCTGGACATGCTATGCATGTGTTCATCAATGGCCAATTATCTGGTAATTGCTTTGTTTACTAGTTTTAAGTATCAGAAAAAATAATCTGCTTGTCACATTTTGACATGTTTTTGGACTGTCTCTTATCTAGGATCTGCTTATGGTAGCTTAGACTCTCCTAAGCTAACATTCCGAAAAGGTGTGAGTCTAAGAGCTGGTTTCAACAAAATTGCGATATTAAGCATCGCTGTTGGTCTACCGGTTAGTCCTTTGATCTCCTTTGCTAAACACTAACTTAGACAAAGAGATGTTCTTAATCCATGTGTTCTGATACAATGCAGAATGTGGGTCCACATTTTGAGACATGGAATGCTGGAGTTCTGGGTCCAGTTTCATTGAACGGTCTCAATGATGGACGGAGAGACCTGTCCTGGCAGAAATGGACTTATAAGGTACAGAAATAAAGATATAATCCTCTGTTAGCTGGTATGTGTTACTATTCTGACTAATGATTACTTTTTCATGATTACTTTTTTTTTCAGGTTGGTCTCAGAGGAGAGAGTCTGAGTCTTCATTCACTCAGCGGTAGCACATCGGTTGAGTGGGCAGAAGGTGCATACGTGGCACAAAAGCAGCCGCTTACTTGGTACAAGGTAACACATCTCGAGTTTATCTTATCTTCCGTTAAACAAACTGTTATGGACATCAATATTAGAGTCTGGTGGCTTAACATCCCTCCATTGGTCTGTTTCAGACGACATTCTCTGCACCAGCTGGTGATTCGCCGTTGGCTGTGGACATGGGAAGCATGGGGAAAGGTCAGATATGGATTAATGGGCAGAGCGTGGGACGTCACTGGCCTGCATATAAAGCAGTTGGTTCTTGCAGCGAGTGTTCTTATACAGGAACATTCAACGAGAACAAATGCTTAAGAAACTGTGGAGAGGCTTCTCAGAGATGGTACCATGTCCCAAGGTCGTGGCTGAAACCAAATGGCAATCTATTGGTTGTCTTTGAGGAATGGGGAGGAGATCCGAACGGAATCTCGTTGGTCAGAAGAGAAGTTGACACTGTTTGTGCAGATATATATGAATGGCAATCAACGCTTGTGAATTACCAATTGCATTCTTCTGGAAAAGTTAACAAACCGCTGCATCCCAAAGTGCATTTGCAATGTGGACCTGGGCAGAAGATGACCACAGTGAAGTTTGCTAGCTTTGGGACACCTGAAGGAACTTGTGGTAGTTACCGTCAAGGAAGCTGTCACGCTCATCACTCTTATGATGCCTTCAACAGAGTAAGTTTCTCATGGAACTTTGTTCTTTCTTTTGTTGTGTTTCTGGAATGTGTTCTGAAAGCTGTGGTTTATGTTCTGTCTCTTGCAGCTTTGTGTTGGGCAAAATTGGTGTTCTGTAACCGTAGCACCTGAGATGTTTGGTGGAGATCCATGTCCAAATGTGATGAAGAAACTAGCCGTGGAAGCGGTTTGCGCTTAAATGAACCAGAGGGCAGCAGCAATCATCGTATTATAAGAACTCTATTAGTATGTTATTATGGCTATTTATACCGGTGGAAGTTGTACAAAGGGACACAACACACACCGTTCAACAATTTGCAGAGTTGTGATTTTTATGTAAATAAGCTTGGGATGGGTTTGGTAATATGGTAATCCAAGAAAGAAGAGGCACATTGAGACTGGAAAATCCGAGTCCATGTGTAGATTCTTTGCTAGAAAATTTGAAGGCAAAACTGAGATTAGACTATTCTATGAATTTTACTTTTGAACGTGTTTGTAGTTGTTGTACTAGCTGAGACAGTCTCTCTGCTCATTGCTAAACTTATGTAACGTCATTTATTTCTCTGAAATAAATCATTTCAAGTCCGATATAATATGTGCGAATTTGCCTGTCCTACGGAGAACGCACGGATGACAACATCAAATAGAATGGTTCTGCACATATAACGAAGGCTGCATCACTGTCCATCTTGGATGCTTATTTGAATCCTCTTACTAAATGAAACATGGTCGATGTTCCCGCATGTGAGTGGCAATGTGAAAGTTATAGCACAACAGTAGTAGTAGCACTCGATTGTTCTGCCATGAACGTAACCACCGTTGCACCAGATTCATTAACTATGATCAGGGGTGGACGTTCAGGTATCTATTCAAGTTGGATTCATATCTATCAGGTTTTGGAGGTTAGAGATTTTTAAATGTCATTTCCATTTGTTCGGGTTTGGGTTCAGTTTTGGGTTCTTTGGATATTAAAATTGTAGATTCATTTAAGTATTTGATAAGTTTGGTTTGATACAACTTTTCCAGATCAAGTTTGGTTCTGATCGTCTGAATTTGACCTTCTTAGAGATGTTATGATAAACTAAGGGAAACAGACAAAAAAAAAAACTTAACTTATGTAAGATTCATAAATACAGTAAAAAAAAACAGAGAAGAGACACACGTTCATTGTCTTCAGTCCGACCGTATTTGTCGAATGTTTAACTTAATGAAACTACTTCATCGATCCTTGTCTTCCTTACCAAACTCTTCTCTCCAAACCTTCTCACCAATCCCTCAACTATGTTCCAACGGTCGTCTCCAAGAAGCTTTGCTAGAGATGTCCGTCTTAGGCCCCAACATGGGGTTCCAAGATTACGATGCATTACTGAACACATGTGTGAACAAAAGGGCTCTCAGAGAAGGTCAAAGAGTCCATGCCCACATGATCAAAACCCTTTATTTCCCCTCTACATACCTCCGAACTCGTCTGCTCATCTTCTACGGAAAATGTGATTATTTAAAAGATGCTCACAAAGTGCTCGACGAAATGCCTGAGAAGACTGTCGTTTCCTGGACTGCCATGATCTCACGTTATTCTCAAACTGGACACTCTTCAGAGGCTCTTACTTTGTTTGCTGAGATGATGAGATCAGAGGAGAAACCTAACCACTTCACTTTCGCCTCTGTTCTCACTTCTTGTGCTTCTGGATTATCCGTGGGTAAGCAAATCCATGGATTGATAATAAAGTGGAATTACGATTCTCATATCTATGTGGGAAGCTCTCTTCTTGATATGTATGCTAAAGCTGGTGGAATTAAAGAAGCTCGCGAGGTCTTTGAGTGTTTACCTGAGAGAGATGTTGTCTCATGTACTGCTATTATTACTGGGTATGCGCAGTTAGGTCTTGATGAAGAGGCTTTAACAGTGTTCCAGAAGCTGCTAAGTGAAGGAATGAGTCCGAACTACGTGACTTACGCTAGTGTTCTAACAGCTTTATCTGGACTTGCTTTGTTAGACCATGGCAAGCAAGTTCATTGCCATGTTTTGAGACGTGAGCTTCCCTTCTACGCTGTTCTGCAGAACTCGTTAATAGATATGTATGCAAAGTGTGGGAACCTATCTTACGCTCGGAGGCTTTTCGATAACATGCCTGAAAGGACATCCATTTCGTGGAACGCGATGCTTGTGGGGTATAGTAAACATGGGTTAGGAAAAAAAGTTCTTGAGATGTTTAGATTGATGAGGGATGAGGAGAGAGTAAAGCCTGATTCAGTTACTCTTTTAGCTGTCTTGTCTGGATGTAGCCATGGGAAAATGGAAGACACAGGGCTAAGTATATTTGATGAAATGATTGCGGGAGATTACGGGATCAAGCCTGACACTGAGCATTATGGTTGCATCGTTGATATGCTTGGCCGTGCTGGTAGGATTGAGGAGGCGTTTGAGTTCGTCAAAAGAATGCCGTCAGAACCAACTGCTGGTGTCTTGGGATCTCTTTTAGGAGCTTGTAGGGTTCATGTATCTGTAGATATTGGAGAATATGTAGGTCGTAAGCTCATTGAGATTGAACCGGGGAACGCGGGTAACTACGTGATTCTCTCTAACTTGTATGCCTCTGCAGGAAGGTGGGAAGACGTAAACAGTTTAAGAGCATTGATGTTGCAAAACGCTGTAACGAAAGAACCAGGCAAAAGCTGGATTCAGCACGAGCAGACCTTGCATTACTTCCACGCTAATGATCGTACTCATCCAAGAAGGGAAGAGGTGTTAGCTAAGTTGAAAGAGATACTGATAAAAATGAAACAAGCCGGTTACGTTCCTGATCATAGCTGTGTGTTGTATGACGTGGATGAGGAGCAGAAGGAGAGGATGTTACTTGGTCATAGTGAGAAACTAGCTCTGACTTTTGGATTGATTGCTACTGGTGATGGGATTCCCATTCGAGTTTTCAAGAATCTACGCATATGCGTTGATTGTCATAATTTTGCCAAGATCTTCTCTAAGGTTTTTGAAAGAGAAGTGTGCTTGAGAGATAAAAACAGGTTTCATCAAATTGTCGGAGGAATATGTTCCTGTGGAGATTATTGGTGACAAAGACATGTAATACTAGATTCAACCAACATCTGTCGAATGTGTAGGTGATGAAGAAACAAGGTACGAATAAAAGTTGATTTGATTCTTTTACTTTGTTACAGCTACAAATAAAACATACAAAGACTCAAAAGTTGGTTGGCATTTTTCTGCAAGATTTATCAGTTGGTTTCTTCTGTCCTGAGTTCTAGTCAATCTTCACTGAAGAGTAGATCTTCCTCACGAACCAGAAGCAAGCGTAGAAACCTATTGTGCCAGTTAGGACGAAGAAAGCGTAAGAGATGATGACCATGTACCCGAAGTAGAGCATTCCCGAGACTAGCTTTGTGATCTCCAGCTTCGTGAAGAAGTAGAAGATCGAGTAGAGGAAGAGGTAGAAAGCAGATGAACCCGCGGTTAAGTAAGCTCTCCACCACCAGTTGTAGTCTTCGCTGCAAAGCTGGAAGTAGCAGAGCACAACTGTGATCTCTGCGCAGGTGACTATCAAGATCAAGAACACTATGAAGAGGAACCCGAAGATGTAGTAGAACTGGTTCAGCCAAATCGATGTCAAGATGAAGAAGAGCTCGATGAAGACTGCTCCAAATGGGAGGATGCCTCCAATAAGTATGGAGAACACAGGTTTCATGTACCATGGCTGCTCTGGTACTTGCCTTGGGATCTTGTTTGTTTTGACCGGGGCTTCGATCGCTGGCTTCTTGTAACCCAGATAGCTACCGACAAAGACTAGTGGGACTGAGATGCCAAACCAGAGGCAGAAGAGAGCAAACATTGTACCAAAAGGTATGGCTCCAGATGACTGTTCTCCCCAAATGAGGCCATTTAGAACAAAGAAGATCACAAAAAGGATACCGGGAAACATGAATGCAGTCTTCAATGTCATTCTCTTCCACTTGTCTCCTTTGAACATTTTGTGAAGGCGAGATGAGGAGTAACCAGCGAATATGCCCATGAAAACCCACAAGAGAACCATGGCAGTCATAAGCCCTCCTCTGTTGGATGGAGATAAGAAACCCAGCAACGCAAACATCATTGTAACAAGCGACATTCCAAAGATCTGAACACCTGTACCAACATAAACACACAACAATCCAGAGTTCACAGGTGGCCTGAAGACATCTCCGTGGACAAGCTTCCATCCAGTCTCTTCCTGAGCCTCATCTTGTGTTTCGAGCTGATTGTAGTTTGAGATATCCTTGTAGAGAGTTCTCATCATAATCATAGCTACCATTCCAGAAAGAAATAGGACGATCATAAGCGAATTTATAATGGAAAACCAGTGGATCTGATCATCATTCATGAGAAGGTATGTGTCCCATCGAGAAGCCCATTTGATTTCACTCTCCTGAAGATTCAAATTCCGAAAAACATGTTTAGCAAAGCCAAACAGTAAAAGAAAAGAAGTCTAAATGAAAAAATTCTTTACCTTAAATGAGACATCATATGTAAATACAATTTCTTTTCCTTTCTCAACTTCTTGAGGGACAGTATTGGTTTGGATTAAATTCTTTGTATCCTTGTTGCATGTTGTTATCTGAGGATTGTTTTCATCCCACTCCTTGTACTCATGCAAGATACTATACAAAAGACAAATACCATTTAGCTTTAACAAGCAAACCTAGATAAACATCTTGCAACTAAGTAAAGGAATACCTGTTAGGAGTAACCTCAAATCCAACAATTCTAGCAGAATCAGACTCTTGATCTCTGTGGTACATAACTCGGAAGCTCAAGTGATTATGGATAAAATATTTCTCCTCTTTGCTCTACAAAAGGCAAGCAACTCTTGGTTGGTATGAAAGACAATAATAAAAATGCAGACTGCAGAAACAGAGTTTAAAGACATACCCCTTCATAACTCCCTTTGAAGCCGACTCGGAAACCATGTTCATAAGTAGTTGACTGACTTCCATCCCTCCTTTGTCTAAGTACAGCTACCGGAAGATTATCAAGAATCCTGTATACATCGGGTTAAGGTTTACAGATTAATCAAAAGAAATCTAGGAGACACAGATACAAAGAACAAAGATGCTATATTAACTACTTACATATTAGCACGGTATTCATCATCAATCTTTTCCTTGAAATTTTTGGTGGACTCAGCGTCAAGTTTAACACGGCAACCTACTTTACAAGGCTGATCTTCCAGCATTTGAAACTGAAAATTTTCATTTGGGAAAAGGTCAAAATCTCATAGTAAAGAGGTTAATGTATTGAAAAAAAAAAACCAGAGACTGAACAATGGGGTATTTTACTTACAGTATAAACCGAGTTCTCAATGCGGTCTCCTCTGAGAACCTCCCCAAGATTCTCAGCATTGTTAACGATCTTACGAGGCTTACAGTAATTCAGGTAGTAGTAGTCATAAGGAAGTTGGGTCTTGGTAGAAGACAATTTGTTCACCTTCACATAAAGAGGATCTCCCTGTTCCAGACACAAAAAAAAAAAAAAAAAATCAAGAGCAGATAAGCAAGGTTTCTAATCTGTGCATTATCACATATTCACATCAAATAAAGTCAATAAAATCCTTCAAATGCAGATCACCAGCATAATAACACAAAAACCTATAAATTTGACTCCAGCTCAGAAACCTAGATGGTTTAAAAGGATTTGTAAATCTCATAGATAGATCCCAATAACAGAAGGAAAAAACAAAAGAGTTTGAGACCATAAGGAGCACAAAAATGAAGGATCTTTAATCAGAACACACATAGATCTTACACTTATAACAAATAACAAGGACCCTCTCTCCACACATACAATAAGGTCCCACCTTCATTTTTTGTATATACTAAAACTTCAGTTCCGTTTCTTCTCTGAAAATCAAAAGTTTCATCGATTACCTAAGCTAAGCTACACACAGAAACGGTGGCAAAAAAAAAAAAATACAAACTTTCCAGCATATGAAGCTTGAATCACACGCTATGTTAGAATATTACTCAGACCCATAAACTCTAGATCGATCTTCTCATAAAAAACATGAGATCGGAAGAAAAAAAAAGTTATTACCTTCTGGAAATCGCGGGGAGCGACACCGGGGAGATAGAAGGCGCGAGATAAGGAGAAAGAGAGGAAAGCGATGAAGAGAGTTGCGTAGAATCGAGAGCTCTTCTTCATCTTCTGTCTCGGAGCTTGTTCAGATGGAAGTTACCGGAGCAATTTAGAAAAGAAGGAACTTTTTATTTAACAAAGATATTACGAATACGGTGTCGTTTATGCGTTTTGTTGCTTACAAATAAGAAAGTAAAAGTTACTAGTGTATCATTTTTTTTGTCAATTAAAGACTCTAGATATTAATTAATTTATTTCCTTCATTTTTTTATGACAAGGTTAATTACTTATGTTAATATTTTGGGAATTTAAGAATGTAATCTTCTATGCATAAATGTAAGGGGATAACATCATATATCTAACCAATTTAAGACAAATTTGTAGCAAATTTTGTTGTGATTGAAAATGTTACTGCCTTCATGTCAAAGCAAAGAGAGATGATTGGGTTGCCGACCTAAGTTCTTTTTTGAATCTGTGTAAGCAAATTACTTTGATCTCAAGACTTTAAATTTTTTGCCATGAATCATTTGTTAAGTAAAGTTAGTTGTTGATTACGATGAAATTTATTTTTATAATTGTTCTGGTAAGTTTTATCGTTATTGAATTTTTTTATTCACCGTTTCAATGTTTTCATTTTAAAATCCTTTAATTAAATATTAACATACTTTTTCAAAAATTTAAATTGAGGATTTCCAGTAATAATTAAAAGTGAAATTCTTTTGCATCTAAAACCATTATAAACAAATAAAATTCCTTCGTTTGCTCTTATTGTATTTGTATTTTTTTTTTTGCTGTTTGATTATACTATGTACTTTTTTTGTATGCATTTTTCTAATTTATATAAATAAAATAGTTGTCAATAAAAAATAAACAAATAAAATTCCTTACCACTGACAATCTGTTTCTTTAAAGCCGATTAAAATTATAAAACCGCCGGGAAATGAATAGAAAAAAGCGGTTATTTATAAGAAACAGAAAAATAAAAAAAGTCAGTCTTGTCTGAAAGTCCAAAAAACATACAATGGAAATCGAAGGAGAAGACGGCACGAAGCTCATCCTAAAGCCAGGAGACAAACCCATCTTCGGAAGAGGAGCGGGATTCATCACCGACGACTTAACAGTCTCCCGTCGCCACGTCTCCCTCGAGTTAAAACCCTTCGCCGGCGGAACCGAATCCGGTAGGGTTTCACTCGAGGTTCTCGGGAGAAACCCGGTTTGGGTACGGAAACGCGAACCGGGCGAAAAGATTAAAACTTTTCGGAAATCTGAGAAGGGAGAGGTCAAGGCTGGGGATAGGTTCTGTGTATCGGGTCAACTCCCTGTTTGGTTCACATTAAAAAGTCGTGATGATGAAGGTAAAGAGGAGAGAGCTTCGAATAGTGAAAGTGGGTTGGATTGTATTGGTATTGATCCTGTTAAAGGTATTCACTTTTTTCACTTTTGCATATAACCCCAATTCATTTAATTTTGATTTAGATTGTTTCTGGATTCTAGGGTTTCATTGTCCTTATTATTCTCTGTTTTGGTTTGTTGTTTTGTCTGAATAGTAAAGTTGGTTTATGTTTTTTTTTTTTTTTTTTTTTTTCAAAAAAGTTGGTTT